AAAAAAAAAAAAAAAAAAAGAAATGCAATGGTGAACAAGACCAACATAGTCCCCTGGCCTTTAGGGAACATACAGTCTGGGGGAGGGGAAGAGATAATCAGTAAATAAACAAGGAAACAGTCACAGTCTGTGATGTGTGCCAAGAAGGAAATTAGCAAAGCATTATGTTAGATAATAGCAAAATCCTAGAAAAGTGAAAGGGATTCAGATTCACCTGAAGTCATTGGAGCAGTTGCTCTGTGTGTTTGTGTGTGTGTGTGAGAGAGAGAGAGAGAGAAAGACTGTGTGTGTGTGAAAGAGAGTGTGTGTGTGTGAGAGAGAGACTGTGTGTGTGTGAGAGAGACTGTGTGAGTGTGAGAGAGAGAGACTGTGTGAGTGTGAGAGAGAGACTGTGTGTGAGACAGAGACTGTGTGTGAGAGAGAGACTGTGTGTGTGAGAGTGTGAGAGAGACTATGTTTGTGTGTGTGAGAAAGAGAGAGAGAGACTGTGTGTGTGAGAGACTGTGTGCGTGTGAGAGAGAGATTGTGTGTGTGTGTGTGAGAGAGAGAGACTGTGTGTATGAGAGAGCGTGTGTGTGAATACTAGCAACAGCTAATAAGAGTATGGGCTCCAGGCCTGGACAACCTGGCCTTTAAATTTTCTTTGTCTCATATTAGTCATTTCATACTATTTCACACCTTTTTTCCCCCATGTGTCTCAGTTTCTCATCCAAAACTGGGGGTTATAATAGTATTTTTAATAAGGATTAACTTAGCTGATACTTATAAATCACTTAATACTGCCTGGCAAGTGCTAAGTTCTGGGTCAGTACTGGCCCTTGCCTCATTTTCGGAGCGGAAAGTGAGCACACCGGAGGTTGGGTGGGGCCCGAGGCCGGGGAGGAGGAGCCCAGCAGTGCCCCATAGACTGTAAATGGGACAGCTCTTCATCCTCCTGAGTATCTGAGCAGCCTTCTGGAATGTGGCCCTGGCATGCCACTCTGGCAGGCCATAAACCAGCCTGCCCACGCCCCACTGTGCCCACAGCCGCAAACCACAGAGAGGATGCAGGATGGGTGGCACTGGGTGTGTCTCTTGGTTTTCAGCTGTATCAGGTCTTTGTGAAGCAGCTGTTTGCTGTGGACCTAGCTCGTGGCACTCACTGGCTCTGATTGGTTGTCTTTTCAATGTGTCTGTGCAGGTCAGCACTTATCACCCCGGACCTGCCTCCCCAGGACATCCCACGGCCATGGTCAGCATACCCGGCTCCCAGCAACACCTCTCAGCTAACATGTGAGTAAAAGGCTCAGCCCTTCACCACAGTCCTGGCACACAGGGCTCCTCTTTCCTGGTCCTTTGCCAGCAAGCATCACCGCCTCAAACCATCCCATCCAGAGATACAGCAGCTCCCTTCCAAATGAAACAATAGCAGAGGCACAAATTAGCCACATCAGCCTAGCTCATTCTCTTACAGAAGTAGGAAAAAACTGGAAGACTATGCACCATACACCACGGAGAGATTGGGGACTGAGCAATTTCTACTGTCTTGCTTTGAATTCACGATGTTGAGTCATAAATAGAGGTTGCTTTGTAATCAGCAAGAAATAAATATAGCATTCGAGGAAGAAAAAAACCCTTAGAGATGAGAACACGCCCCTAGCCTCTTTAAGAAAATACAGCCCTTAGAGCCTGGAAGGGCTTCCCAGTGTCTGAGATGCCTAAGGACCGTGTGCTGGTGACCCCTGCCTCTGACAAGCCAGAGAGGATTGATCAGCTATTTTCACCTCCACAACCTCACGATTCCCTGTTGTCTTCACCCCCGACTCAGAACGGGACACGCTCACCTGATTCTCCTCTGGGCCCATCCTCCTCCTCCCCACCATGTGGCCCATATTTCACTAAATGCCAAAAACCGAAATCTAACCCCTGCCTCCCAATGTCCACTTCCCTGCCTGTGACAAGCTGGCTATTTAGGCCAATTCTGGGAGTCAGACATGTTCCACCTCAGACCTCTTATTTCTCGGAACTCTGCTGGCTGCAGCCACTTTTGGGGGGAGGAATGCACCAAGCAGTAGTGAAAAGTCATCCTCTGTACAGCCAATTCTTGTAGCTTTGAGCCCCATCTTTGCCACTAACTCCCAGTCATCAACTTCTTTGTCTGTTCAAGGCCAGTTTCCCAGTTGTTCCAATGGCAAGGTTGGCCTGTATTTGGTGACCTGCAGGTGGGGGGGCTGCCTGGAGGAGGGGAGACGAAGGCGGGCGGCAGGGACCCGGCCCCTCCACTGCTATTTCAACTAGGTTGTTCTACTTTGTGCCTTACATGTCACAGTGTCAGTGTTTTTATTGCCAGCCGTGGGCTGACGAACTCTACGGTCAGGACTCCCTCTCCTGGCTCCACGCTCGCCACCTTCTCCCTCAGCAGGTCCCTGTGTCTCCCCAGGTTTGTAGCCCTGCACTCCTACGCAGCCCGGGGACCC